AACTTGTGAGTTATAATATTAGGGTCTATGCTGGGCATTTCCGCTGCCAACCAAGCAAAACACATATGAGTTATTCAATATAAAGCTTACCAGTTTTGATTGAAGCAGATCATTTAGGCGAGCGCTGATCTGGAGAGTCTTCGTGGGCTCAACATCAGAGGTTGGGACCTGAATCTTCTCCTACATCGGTGCAGTTCACTCCTCAGTGTGCTCGGGGGGTGGTTCTAACTCCACGTCGTCTGCCATCTTGGCCTTGTTCTTCAGTGTGGCTATGTAGCACTTTCGCGACTTTAGTTGGTCGCCCCATACTACCCCCACTCTGTAGTCTGTCGGGAATTTCATCGACAAATAATAGGTCGACACCACCGCACAAAGTGCATGCAGGATAGGCCGCCCTAAAGTAATGTTGTAGGGGGACGAGGTCGCCACCTCTAGGAATGTGTGCTTGAACTTGACTGTATTGGGTCTGGTCCTTGCTGCAACTAGAGCTGCTAGAACTGCTGCATCTGCAGCTACAAAAGTCAAATGCTCTACCCCAACTCATGGAACTACTGAACTTCCATCCTAGCAGGAACCATAGAAGGCTCTACGGTCTGAGTGGCGAATTGTCTCTAGACTGTCAATACCCTTGGAATGCTGAACTGGCCGATGGTCACTGAGGGGATCTCAAGGTTAAGTGCAGGCTGATCCTACCCCCAGTGATTGCAGAAAAAATAGGTAACTAGAAGTGATAACTTAGCTTTTTGTCATGGTTCCCATATATGGCGCCAATTGATGGTTTGTGATCTGGATGCTCCTAATTGAAGGGCAGCTCAGAAGTCGGTTGCTTATCTGGCCAGTCGAACTGCAAGAAAATAGGGCTCAAAGGACCTGGGGTGGCTTAATTGGTGTGGTCACTCCGATTCTTAAGTCAGTACTCTATGTGTGCGAACTGGAAACTTATATGCTAGTGAGCTAGTGAGTAATTAATCGCGTGTACCTTGTGCTACAGGGGTAGGTGCCCTTATATAGGTGAGCTGCCATAGGTCTCACGAAACACCTCTAAGATCCTCGGCCCATGCTATTATGAGTCCATTCCGCACTAGAATGCGGACTTCGTGGTAGTTGATAAGGCTTATCGAGTCCGTCCGATCCGAACAGGATAAGGTTAGGACCTACAAATGCGCGTCATGATCCCGAAGAGCTTGAAGACAACTGGATAGCTTCTAGAAGTAGGCTACGTGTCACGTCGGGAGGTCGGGCCATCACAAGCTACTCAAACCTCGGTTGTGACTGAGGTGCCTGAGGTACCCAAGGTGGCCTAACTTGTTGAGGTGGCAGGAAGTGCTAGGTCAATGTCCAGTTAGCTGGTTGCATCCACGTGTCCACTCATTAGCAGGTTGGGCCGAATCACCCCTCATCATCACCCATTTCAACAAAAAAAAAAAAATCTATGTTAAAGACTTAAACATGCGAAAAAAAAAAGAATTGAAGAAGAAAATGTAAAAAGATTGAAGAGCAAAAAAACTATCTTCTAACGTTTACAGAAATACCTCTCTAACTTTTCTTCCATTTTTGAAAAGTTGAAACTGGTTAAATCGACAAAAAAATACCTCTCTAATATATATATATATATATATATATATATATTTTGTAGGGAAGTCACTTGCGCCTCTTCTTTCAAGTTTCAAGATTCAACCATTTGCCACCACCACTTGGTTTATCAGAAGGTCGGTTACGGACTCACGGTCAATGCTTCAGAAGCATGTAGTGAGGTGAGGAGTGAGTAAGGACTCACTGGCTGAGAGGAATGAGGAGTGAGGAGGTGCCGAGACCGAGAGGAAGGTTATTGGGTTAAGGACCATTTCAAATTCCAACTACATTTTAATCACAAATTTTACCTTTTTCTTCTTTCTGTAAACTGCACACAACCGTTTCTATAAACTACTGGCCGAGCATAAATGCAGTCTATCCTATTAACGTCCACGCCACAGCGGCTGGCCATAAACAATCACCGGTGGTCAGTGAACTTTAAAACAGAGATTTTACTACTATAAAGTACTATAAACTACTATAAGCAGATATTGAAATAACTATAAAACAGAGAATTTATTAACTCCAAACTGTTGAATAAACAGAAAAAACCGATTGAACATTATATAACTATTAAAACAATAATAAAAATTAAGCATGATAATACACTAATTGATTGAAAGTTTGTTGAACCGAAGACCTTCAATGCAACACCAATGCTAAAGTTCAGATTTCTTTGAGTAGCAAACTTGTTGCAGAATTCTCTGAAGTTGCAGTTTCACAAAGCAAACACCTTAAGAGTTCTTTGAGTTCGAGACTTCTCTGAAGTTGCAGCTTCACAAGGCAGACACCTTATGAGTTTTCTAGACACAGTTGAATGTGCTGAAAGATTTTCAGTTCTGTTAGATTGAATATGCAGAAAGATTGAAAGTGCTTTCATATTGTGCTTTTTTTTAGGAAGAGATTGAGAGTGGGAACTTCCCACTCCTCACGTCTTTGTAAAAAAGACTTAGAATGGCACGATTCTGCATGGTGGTAAGTTAATCCTCCACCGTTTCAGATCTGCATCGTCAATCGCAGTGGGTGGTGGTGAGATGCAGTTTGGATCTGCACCACTAAAGTTTTCTTTTATTGGTGTTTGAAAATAGAGGTGTAGAGATGTAGTTTGGATGCAATCCGAATGGGGTTTTGCATTCTAATGTTTCCTCTTCCTACGATTTAGTTTCGTGGCCTGCTAACTAACTATGCGAGGGGTTTTGCATTCCTGAAATTTAGATACGTGAGGTACCAATTGAGAGCTACAATTTTGTATGGCCACGTCTCTGAATGGGGAGGCATTTGAGAATGTTTGACTAGGGGGCCTTGGCCTGAAAACCTTCCTTTATATATATATATATATAGTAATTTAATATTTTACAAAATTAACAATAAAATTATAAATTATAATTTTATAGATTATTAAATTTAATAAATAATTAATATTTTAAAATTTACAAAATGATATTATTTAAGTAACTAAATAATATTCTAAATAACTAATTTCACTTATATCAATTAATAATTTGAGAAAATAACTTTAAAAATTTAATATTTATTAATAATAATTTCAAACTATTAATCTATATTTATAGTATAGTTATATATACTAAAATTAATATTTATCATATTTTAATAATTATTTATTTTTTTGTAATAATTATATTTTTAATAATTACTAGAGACTAAACTACTACTATTCAACTTTTTAAATTTAATTTATTGTACCTATTGTATTTTTGTTATAATTTATTGATTAATATTTATTAGAGATTAAACTATTATTTGAGATTATACTATTTATTGACTAATTTAATATATTTTTAGTATTTATTTTATTTTTATAATTAATCTATTTATTATATTTTTATTAGTTATTTATTGTATTTTAATTATCAATATATTTTTAATAATTGTGTATTTTCGCTATAATTTTTCAATAATTATTGGAKATTAAACTATTGTTATTTATTAGAGATTAAACTAATAATTTAACTGAAATTAGGAGTGCTCATAAGTTGGTCCGGTTCGGTTGTAGGCAGTTTGGCCAACCAAATTGACATGGTTAAGTTGGTGAGTTGGTTACCTAAAATCGACTAACGATTTGTAAAAACTGACCCACTCGGGTTGTATCGGTTTGAGTCATTTTTTTTGTTTGGTTTGTTAGTTCAAAAGATTTAAACTTACAAAATTAAATTTAAATTTTAAAAATTAGAGTGGCATTATTAAAAAAATTAAATTAATTTTATGATATAAAATATTTTAGACTAAGAAATATGAGAACTTTCCACTTTCTCGTAATAAAGAGTTATATTTTAAATATAAATCATTAATATATATCTATGGTCAGGTCATTCAATTTTGGTTGGTTTGCATATGGGCAAAGCGAAAACTGATCCAACCTAGTCGGGTTGGAAAATTATTGAACCAAAGCTAACTGAAAATACTAGAAAATCAACTAACTCAATTGAATTGATCGATTTTAATCTTTCATCAATTTGATAAATAACCCTAACTAAAATTAATTATTATTATTTTTATATTATAAACAAATATTAAAAAATAATATAAAACAATTATATTTCTATTATTTAGCTTTCACTTAACAAATGATACACGGGTCCCGCTAGTTCATTGGGAAGGAAATGCTCAACTTTGATTTTTCTACATGGGGCTACACATACCCGCAATCCTGGTGCAAGCACAATTCGATCCCATGCCTCTAGTGAAGTAGGAAGTTGAGGTGAACAAGAATAGGGTTGTTCATAAGAAGACCCAACCCGACCAAACCAACCAACCCGAACCGACTTAGTAGTTAGTAGTTAGTTCCTAGTTAGTAGTTACAACCTACTTAATTTCTATTTAACTAAGTTGTCTCTATTCTAGTTACAATCTAACTTAATTTATAGTCTTCTAGTTAGGAATGACATTAATGGCAAGTATTATTAGACAATTAGACAATGAATTTTTTGGAAAAGTTTAAAGAAAATAATCAAAGGATCCTAGTTTCTATGGTCTTTTACACTAAATAAGCAACCAATTACAATTATAATTAGGTGTCATTTTTTACTTAGATTAGAAGGTTTATTGAAATATACAAAATTCAGTCTTCTTTCTCTAATACAGTTTGACTTTCTATTTTCTTGATAACTTCTATTCTAACTTGGTCCGCCCCCCTTAGCCCTTCAACTCAAGCACAATCTCTAATACAATTTAACTCTCAAGCATGATTGAACTTAGAGCTGAAACCGATCCAACCTGACTCACACCGACCAAATCGGTTTTGCTTATCATAGGGTCGGTTTCGGTTTTAATTTTAGGTAACCCGACAGATCGGATCGGTAAACCGACCCAACCCGACCCGTTAACAGCCCTAAACACAGGAGGCCGGAGGCGGGGAGAAAAGAAAAGTTTGATATAAATTAAAATCCTGGCATATATCTGTTAGAGAAGGCAACCGAGGTGGAGGTTCGTAAGGCCATACGTTGAGTCCTGGCCTTATCAAATCTCTGCTCGTCTCTCTTTTCTTCCTCACCGGCGCTAACACCGCCACGCTAATTCCTATATCCGCACCTCCCCCACCGCTTATCGTCCTTTCATTCTCAACTCCCATTCTACCCAAAAAACCTCCTTCCTCGTTTCTCATTTCCCATCTCACTAAACCAACTTCCTCTTCTGAACTCCAGTCTCAGTAGTGTCCAAACAAAGCTTTTAGCAGGGGGAAGGAGAATTTATTTGCTTAGTGAACCAAATTCGTCATATTTAACAGGAAAGTTAGAACATCTTTCTGTCGCCTCAAATACAGCCATGACTTCCATTTTAGGTGTCTCGTCTCTTTACCAAATCCCGTTGCTAGAACCTTCCAGAAGGGCGTTATCTTCCGTCTCCCTACCTTCTTCCGACAAGCTCAACCAGTTCGGGTTCCTAAAGTCTGCTTCCAGTAACCCCATTGAAGCTACTTCTTTTTATCTGAGAACTCGGACGCTTATGGTCGTTCCTTCTGCCATCTTCACGCCAAACTCGGTTTTGAGCGAGGAGGCCTTTAAAGGCATCAGCAGCGGATTGTCAAAAAGGTCTATCGAGGAAAAGGATAACGACGTCAAGTATGACTCCGAAACAGATGGGTCGGGGGCTGAGGAAGGCGCTGAAGGCGATCTTGCCATCGCCAATTTGGACTTACCGCAGCAGCTTGTTGATTCGCTTGCGAAACGAGGGATTACACACCTTTTTCCCATCCAAGTAAGACCTACTGTTACCTTGAGCCTTTATTTTATTGTTTTTTTTTTTTTTTGTGTGTTTTGTTATGAACTTCGAAGTTCTTTATTTGCATTGATACACTGTTCGATTAAGCTAGAACCGTGTATCTATCTTTTATCTATTTATTCAAAGGAGGGCCTTGCTACATTTTTTTTTTTTGGTTTGATGGACGAGGGGCTAAGTGCTTCAACATTAAGGGAAACATGTGGACAATTAAAATTAGCGAGACCACTGATGCTGTTATACTGTATAATTTAAACTGTAGCTTTACGAAATTCTTCTCATTTGTTAGTGCTGCAAGTTGGTGCTAGTTTGAAATATAAACATGTTAACGTTCTTACATCTGTCCCTTTGGCAATTCAGACACTCTTATTTGTTGCATTCATCTAAATCAAGGGGAATTCGTGCATCAGTACTAGGAGGGGCGGTCTCCGGCTGGGGGTGGATGAAGTTGTTTTATTTGGTCCTGCTAAACTTGATCAAATATCTAGTCACTGGTACTCATGGCCTGGTGCAATCACTAAAGTAGATTGTTGACCCCAACCACCAACCAAATGGAATAACCATGGTTGTCTTAATCACTGAGCTGGGGCAGTCTCTGTCAAAAGTTCTGGGTGGGGCCCACTCAAATGGACCATGGTCAGTCATGACAATCCTGCCATGCATAAAACAATAACATATGCACATCCCTTCTCTTTGGTTAACAAGCCCAATAAAGTTATTTATCGATCTTTATTTCCTAGACCTTTATTCCAACTGGCTAAAAATAATGCCATGGAAAGATGATTATACTTGTCAATTTGGGCCAGTGAACTAAAAAGTCTGTTTAGAGATTCAATAGAAGATGGATCCAGGTGAGCCTACAGTAAATTGTTCTTGTATTTCATCTTACCTATTGAATAAGGGAAGAAATCTTCTAGTGCACGAGTTGCAATTAGTTGGTAGTTTCAACTTTCAGTCGTCATGTCCAATATGGAGTTTAGTTGATAGGTTGATGTTAAAGATCATGACAGGTTTAATCCACCTTTTATCCCAGCCTTGGAATAGGGTGTTACACAAGATGACGATTCTAGCTACCTATTAAGGAGCTGTCTGTTGCAATATTAACTTATTTTCCTTTTGTTATTCAGAGGGCCGTGTTGCTACCAGCCTTGGAAGGTCGTGATCTCATTGCCCGTGCAAAGACTGGGACTGGGAAGACACTGGCATTCGGAATTCCAATAATTAAACGCATTACAGTTGATGATGAGGGTCGTAGTCTTTCAAGGTGCTGCTCTTATGCTGATTTAGATGACATATATACCATTTTTTGTTTTGTTCCATTATTAAATTTATCTGTTTGTTGTCTTGAAGGCGGTCGGGTTGTCTACCTAGAGTTCTGGTCTTAGCACCAACAAGGGAGTTGGCCAAGCAAGTGGAAAAGGAAATCAAGGAATCAGCACCTTATCTGAACACTGTCTGTGTATATGGTGGAGTTTCTTATAACAGTCAACAAAATGCACTATCTCGTGGTGTTGATGTGGTAGTGGGAACTCCAGGGCGTATCATTGACTTGATCAATAGTAATAGCCTCAAGCTGGGGGAGGTTCAATATTTGGTCCTTGATGAAGCAGACCAGATGCTTGCTGTTGGATTTGAGGAAGATGTGGAAATAATATTACAAAAGCTTCCATCTGAGAGGCAGAGCATGCTTTTCTCTGCAACAATGCCTGGTTGGGTGAAGAAACTGGCAAGGAAATATTTGCATAATCCTTTGACAATAGATTTGGTAAATGTTCTGGTCTGGCACTTTTGCACTTCTGGGATTGACATGATTATGAATGTAGGCCAAGTTTTTGTGTATATGATCTCCTTGCATTGTGAATTTGTCATCATTTTTGTTGTTGTTATTCTTTTGAGATGAAATTCTGTAGTTAATCATGCATACAGGTGTTTTTGAAGATTTTATATCTGTTTACAATTCATTATGTGTGACATGCTGTTGATTTTTAAACTAGGGTTATCCTTCTTTTATTTATTTGTATGATATTCATTTGGATCCATAGAAGCTAATCTTATATTAAAAAGAATAATTCATTATGAACATAATTGTTATAGAATGATGGGAGTGAACTACATATGAGCCTTTGATTCATTTTTGTCATTAAATTGATCATGCTATAACCACTTAATGGTGTTGTACATCTTATGCTGATATCTAGGCTTATGCTCTCCTTGATGTGTTGATCTTGCATATCTGATTTCTAAGTTATGAGTGAACAATTCCCTTTTATCCTGTTGGACTTTGGCAAACAAATGGAACAGAGTTCATCAGAGGCCCTCCAATGTTGATGTTCTTTCTCATTTTCCAGCTCAATGCTCATTCAAATTGTTCTATGGTTGTGTCATCTAGCTTTTCCTGCTAATGTAAATGAGTTAGAAATGATAACATTTTCTTTGTTTCTGTTGTTTGAAGGAAGAGTAGAGCATATCTAGGATGGCATGGTGGACTGATCCTCCCTTGTAAATGAATGTAGTCACGTGAAGTAGCTTTATTTTAATTACTCATAAAAAAATACTATTGAATAACTGATTTCTCTTTTGTGTGACGGGTTGCATGGTCCAATTGTCCAGGTCAACAACTATTTGAAAACTTGGGATTTACAGTATGTCTTACACAAAAGAAAAAAATCTGTTTTGGTAAGAAAAACTAAATATTTTGGAATCTGTGGTTCTAGATGGAATTTTGAGGTGAAATTTCATATAATGAAAGGTTATTGAAATGTACCAGGGGGGGTAGTCAAATATGAGGGCATTTGAAGGTGGTTTGGCATGAAAGAATGATAACTACGAAAATAGGAAAATTTCTGATTTTGATTTAAGCTTGAAGAAAACATACTCTGATCATTTCCAATCCTTCATTAGATGTTGAATGAAATTCTTTGATGAAGAAAGTAGAAATCACTGATTGCAGATTTAGTCGAGTTTCTTGTGAAAGGAAAGAGGAGGAAGATGAAGATTTCAACAGTAGAGAAGACAGGAGAAGAAGAAAAGAGTAGGAAGTCAACTAGGATTGTAAAAAAAAAATTAACCTTAGCTGCCAACCTCTCATTATATTTATACTTAACTTAAAGGATGTAATATTACAGGGATGCCCTTAGTAGGGCGACTACTAATATAGCTGAACAATCACAACTTAAAAAAAACATAAACTAATGGGCCTAAAGCCCAACAACTTCCTAACTAAATAAAAAACAACTCGGACCAACTCAACACTCCCCCTCAAGTTGGGAGTAAATGTCACACATTCCCAACTTGCGTAGATCATGCTCCAGCTTGTTCTTTGCAACACCTTTTGTGAGAACATYAGCGAGYTGCAGATCAGAAGCAATGTATGGAAGACAAACTTCTCCAGAAGTTACCYTTTCTYTGATAAAATGTCTATCCACTTCAATGTGCTTAGTTCGGTCATGCTGGACTGGGTTATGGGCAATGTTAATTGCTGCCTGGTTATCACAGTATAGCATCATAGGTTCTTCTGCCTGTACACCAATTTCTTCTAACAGGGGATGGATCCAGAGAAGTTCTGAAACTTCATGTGCCATGGCCCTGTATTCGGCTTCAATACTTGATCTTGCCACAACTGTTTGTTTCTTACTCTTCCATGAGACAAGGTTACCCTCAACAAAGGGTGCACACTCTTGAAGTTGATCTCCTATCATCAAGGCATCCTGCCCAATCTGCATCTGTATAAACCTCTAGTTTCAACTGTCCGTGATCAGTAAACAATATCCTTTGCTTGAGTGTCCTTTCAGATAAGCAAGAATCCTGTCAACTGCCTCCTAATGCTGGACTCGTGGAGCATTAATGTATTGACTTACTACACTTACTGCATAGGAAATGTCTGGTCTTTTCATAAAGAAGTATAGCAACTGACCCACAAGTCTTTGATATCTCCCAATGTCCTTTATTGGTTCACCTTCTGATGCATTGATTTTATGGTTCTGATCAATAGGGGTGCTGATTGCCTTTGTTCCAACCTTCCTTGTCTCTTGAAGAAGATCCAAGACATACTTCCTTTGAGAGATAAAAATTCCATGTTTTGATCTTGCAACTTCAATGCCTAAGAAGTATC